CGGGCGGCCCCCCCCTTCCGGCCCCCCCCCAAACAGTCCCTTTCCAGTCAACGTAGCGACTAACAAAGGCAGAAGGTCAGCCAGGCGACGGCGTGGGGTTTGTAAGCAAGGCTGCAGGCCCCTTGCTCGGTAGTTGCATGAAGGGTTTTCCTTACCTTGACAGGATCTGGGCCAAAAGGGTGTTGCTCCCCGTCCTGGATTAGGCCAGGAGGTATGAGGACATGAGGTGCGGCTATTCATTAGTCGGTAAAGCAAATGATGCCATATGTAGCAATAACATAAACCACAGTCGTTGCTGCCCAAGGTGGAGAAAGCCGTGTTGCCAGATTACCTTCAGAGCCGAACTTTGTGGACTGAAACTGCATTTTGACAATGTATTGTTTTCAGTAGCAAAACCAGTTTCTTAATTTCTGACCTCCCTGTTTCTCCTCATGCTTTACACCTGCTGCCACACCTGTGCTGCTCTTCTAGCTACTGACAAGCAGATTAGTGAGCCAGGATCGAGGAGCTGTTCTAATGTAACATCCCACCAAAAACTGGTTATCCTAGAAGGCAAATACAGGGATTAAGCAGCAAACATGGTTACTGCCCCAACAGTACCTAGGAACAGAACTGTGAGCTCAAACACAGCATGTGTTCAGCGAAAATAGACTCAGAAGCTGCAACCAGCAAAATTGCCATTTTTTTTTAAATAGAAGATTAAGGCATTTGAAAATTTATGGACATCAAAGTAGGAGTCCATAATACTAAATTCACTTTTATTTCAGTAACTAGGTCAGACCGGGTTTTTTTTAGGCTGACACATACCAGCATGAGACTGATACTGAAAAGTGTGGTGAACCATGGAGTAAATGACAATACAGTGCATTAGGTAGAAATGTAGCTTCATCATCTCTCGAGGTAGTAAGTTATTAGCACTGGCTGTCCTGATTCACATTCATATTAAAAAAAAAAAAAATCTTAAAACCTTGTAGCAAAATTATTTTGTTGGAACAAAAAAATCCCAGCTCTCGGAAGCACTTCTAGAGAGGTCCCCAGAGGGCAACCTTGCTCTTCATTTCAAGAAATGATTCAGCCCCTGCTTATAGCAGTGTCATCTGTATTGACATGTCCGTTGCAGTAACTCTCAGGGTATATTAAGTTTTGTTGTAAAAATCTTAATCAAACTAAACGGGCACAAAAAAGACACAGAACATTTTTGTATTACGCAGTCTCAGTTTTCAGTCTTGTACACTGTGAATAGAAAATAACTGAGAACAGGACATGAGGTGCTTTTGCAGGCATTGGGAGACTGCCTACTGTGAACTAATTAATTGCAGAATTCATTAGGCAATCCAGACTATTTGAAATTTTACATACAGATTATATATGATCATCAAAGATGCACCTATTAGTGTCATCTTAAGTATATAGAGCCCTGTATGCTGTTTTACAGCAAGTACCATGCAATTAAATCTAAACCAGTCTAAATGACACCAAATTATCACAGTTACCAAATTATCACAGTTGCCAAATCTGAACCCTTAGATTTTTTTTTATTATTATTATTTTTGATTTTAAGATAACTCTGCATCTCTCATCCAGGAATAACCAAATCATGGTGGGTTTGATAAGCAGATAACATTTTTGTACTTCGTATCCTATGTCTGAAAGTCTATACATTTCACAGACAAATATGAACAGAACCTTTCTGTAGGGTAATCTTTTTGTTAGTGTCATTGTGGAAATGAAGAAATCAGTGTGTGGAGCTACCCTTGGCTAAGAGCGGGTTGAGGCTGTTTGAAACCCCTGGAAATCTCTTAATAAATTCCACCTGCACATGGTGCACATGGGCAAGGCTGTGATCAGGACATGATTACACAGGATGTCTGTTCCTACAGTCCAAAGTAGAAGTCAGTGGTCTGATTCATCTTTTACTTATGCTTATTTTAGTCTGTTCCCCCCCATCTATTCCCCCCCCCCAGCTTCAATATAAATAATGGTGTAGACCCTTTCTTTGTTGTCTTCCAGCTGTATGCCTGATTTAGAACAAGAGTGGGGCCTGCTCATTTGTAAACAATGAAGTAATAGCAAGCATTGTCTTAAAACAGCTACTGATTTCTTTCCACACTGCTGACACTGAATTTATGCTTAATGTTTAAATTCTTCCCCCCCTTTTTTTTTAATTGGTTTCAAGAAGAAGGGGTGATAACAGAAGAGCAATCTTCCTTGAGCCTAGCATATTCTACTTCATTTTAAAACATGCTGGTGATGGCTTGAATTTACCTACAGTTTTTTGGGGTGTGGTAGGTGTTAGAAAATTGCAATTTTCCCACAGACAGCCATTTACTGACTGAAAGCCAGTCCAAAAAGTAACTCAGCTATCATCCTGGTTTTTAACAGTCCTCCTGCACACCCCATTTTCTGCAGAGTGGAATATCAAAGTGAAAATGTTTTCTAAAAAGTAAATAAAAGACTTCTGTAAGTAGAAATAGGAAAAAGAGTGAAAATAATGGAGTTGCTTGAGAATAAGCAGAATGAGATGACCTTTAACCTGGGGTTTTATGGATATTACTACTATTAGCAAAGAGGGCTGCAGGAGGCTGGGTATACTAGGGGTGAGCAGCACCCCTAGTAGCCAAGCCAGGAACTCAGGGAATGTAAGTGCAATAGCCAGAAGGACAGGCAGGTTGTAATTCCTCCCCTTGGAGGCATTTCCTGGCCGTGTGTCAGCAGGTTTGGAAAGAGAAAACAAATTGCAGACTGTAGGAGGACTGTAGAGTTGAGCAGATGTTTTGGGGTTTTGTTTCTGGAGTTTTTGGTTTCTTTTCCAGAAAAACATCTAACTTCAGGATGTGGGAGCTCTTGCTCCAAAGAAGGATTCCAAGAGCAGTTCAGCTGCATTCTGTATGCCACGTGTATACATCTAATTAATCATTAATTTGTACCTCTCACTTACTTGCCTCTGAGAGCTCCCAGCGTAGTTCACCAAGACTAGGTAATAAATGGTACAAGTACTTCATCATGTCCTGTGCTCCTGCGTCCAGGCTTGCTGTAAATTTAATCTTTTCCTCTGCTGGTCTAACAGCTAGCATCTAATTTGTCTACATGTGGGTAGTAAGTGCATCCTTACAGTGTATAAAGGTAAGGAAAAATGAGTCTGTGAAGGCTTGAGGAATAGAATGGGAAAATTTCCAGGTCATCCCTGGTAACTGGTTATTACTGTACTGACAAGCAATCCTCAAATGGTTTTTTCTTAGTCCAGTCTTAGTTGACAATATTCTAAAACACCTCCACAGATGACACAGGTTTAAATTTCCTTGCACCAACGTGGACACAGTACTGCAGTGGAGAGTCTTCCATTGACATCAGTGAGAGTAGTAGACTTAAAATAAGTGGAAAACTAGTCTGTTTCTCCACTCTAACAATAGGCCAGCCCAGGGAAGGACTGAAACACAGGAAACACATATGTAATATGGAGAAGCAAATTTTTGCTTTTGTCTGTAACATGAATAATCCCATGGGAACAGAGTGCCTTCCCCAGGGATTTTAGTCAGAGGCTTTTCAAGTAATGCATCCATATAACATCTGAAGTCATAGATTTGGGATGAGGGCACAGCTAATGGCATTCAGTAGTGAACTTCTCCTGTAATAAGAAAGTGTGTGAGCGGGGAAAAAAAAACACTTTTCTTTCTTCCTTTTTTTTAACCAGTTAATTTGCATCATATCAGTGGGGAACTAGAAGTGTTTGGAAAAGGATGAAAGCAAATCCGTAATGAAACTGTGTGAGTGAAGTAGTTTTCATTTTCTTTTGGCCTCAGAGGGCATGGGTGAAAGCGTGGGGGTGGCTGGGTGCTGCCACTGACACTGCCGTGTTGATGACGCCAGGAGACAGGCCCCAGGCAAGGTCTATCCACCAGTGGGTTCCTCCCCTCCCACCACCCAGGCTTAGACACACCACTCACACTGCATCCACCCTGCCAGTACCCCCTAGGTTAGACAGGACCCTGGGCAAACACCCTCCTACATCTCTCTTCCCTGCTGCCACAAGCAATCTGTCACTCCTCCCCTCGAACCACCCTCCACCTACGTACAAAACCATAACTGTAAGGAACGCCCTCTTCCCTTCCCCCTTCCCTCCCCACAGGTCTGTTCTTCATGGGTGAAAAATGCCGTCTTCCTAGAGATCTGGTCACCCCTGAATTTGGCTTTGAGACCAAAGCTGTTTGATACCTTTTAGGACCACCGCTTGGAAAGCTCTACTTGCAGATCTATTGTGTTGGTTTTTCATTTGCATATAATTGCACGTGTGCAGGTGGGAAGGGGCTATTTGCTTCCCACTTGCTTTGATATGCCTCCTTCCTAAGAGGACCGCTTCCTTCCCTTCCTGCTCTTGGCCTCCCACGCATCCAGCAATGAGAAATGCTGCAGAAAACTGACCAGCTACCAACCCGCCCACCTGAGGAGGAGGAGCACCAGCAGCAGCAGCACATTTCTCTCTCTCTCAGCTTTTTAAACACAGTTAAAAAGAGCTGTAGTGTGGGTGGAAATAACTGTAGGGAGTGTGTGTGGGAATGGGGCCAGAGGAGAGTGAATTTTCTGTTGGTAGGACAGTTACTTCTGGTGGACCAAAAAAATCCCCCAAGGATATCTTAATGTTGAGGGTGTCTTTGGGTGTATAATTACTTCTTAAGGTTGAGTTTCGCAGGTCTG